TTGTCATCATTTCCCCAGCTCCTCTTGGAAAAATTCTGGCCTGAGCGATCATTTCTAAAACTGATGTTTTTCCACTGCTTTGATCTCCGACAACGACAACTCTAGGCAACTGATCTTGGGTGTTGTAGCCAATATCGTAATCAGCTAATTCATCTAACACTTCGCTATACATGTCAATCAAACTTCGTTTGATTTTTTTTAGATTTGGTTTTCGACCCTAGAATAAAAACTAACTTTTTAACAAATGCAATATGGGGCATATCATACTTTTAATTCGGATTGTTTCACTTTACCTGTTTCAGTAATAGGTTTTGCTTCCTTAATTCTTTGTTCTCTCGTTCTAATTTTTCTAGTTCCCGTTGATATTTAATTTGGGTTTGCATCATTTCTTCTTGGATTTCATTTAACCTTTGTTGTGCCTCCTTTTTAACTCTATCTTCTTCGCCATCTTTTTTGGCAAAAGGCCTTGCGAAGGCAGTATGTTTATCTTGTATTTCGTTCTTTATCTCTGAAATACATTTTTGTAAGCATAGTTTAAGTGGCCTGTACATATTTTCCCGGTAGTTTTCATTTCGGATTTCATACCTGAGTACATTCGGTCAATGAAATCAGGAAGCTCATCAAGTGATGGCAAGGAACTTGCACCTAAATAAGAAATTAAAACAACTTAAATTAGTAAACTAAAAACGCTTTCCATTTGGTATCGATTTATTTTTTATATGTTACTAGTTAGACGGAATGTACTCAAATATTCATGATTGATATTTCCATTTACCTTTAGAAGAACTATTTGCACTCTGTTGTTCTACTTTTTCGGCAGCTGCAACCGCATCATCGAGTCTTTGGTCAAACCAACTTTTAAGTTGGGCATATTTAGCTTCTGACAAAGCAGCTATTCTTGGGTCTAAAACCAAACACATCCAATATAAGTGTAATCAATTTACCTTGTTAATGTTAAAAAAAGGTTATTGTTGTCTTACCGATATCGATGTTATTTTTCACATTATCTCTTAACTCTATCAAGTTTCCTCTCCATTGGTTCCACTTATCGTTATCAGGAAGAACATCATCAAGCCATTTAAGGTTTGGCATGCCTTCCTTCCAATCATTGTATTTCTAAAAGCCATATTTGATTAGAGATGTAGGTACTTTCATTTCACATAAAATTTGTTACCTTATTCAAGGCTCCTCCACCAGCTACAGCACCTCCTAAAAGCAAGTACCTAATTTTCAGAACTCCTCTCAATGCCCTAACAACAAACATTCCGTATTCTCGTTTTTGGAATTTGTAATGTTGATAAAAAAGAGGCTTTGTTCTTTCAGTGGCTCGCCCACCCCAAATACTGGAAATGTACATCCGTTTCTGGGTGCCATACCTTATGGGTTGATTTGAATAAGAGCTAATCACAAGGCGACTAGAAATAAAAATTTTACAGTTTTTATGTTATAATAATCTAGTAAACAACAATAAGTAATACACAACTAACAATCCACAATAGGAATAGTATTTGCTCCGCTTTTATAAAACTGATACTGAATGAAAACCAAATAATGCGTTGATTAATTTTATTTAAAGAAGATGCAAAAGATTATTTGAAACTAAACGATTGATCGGTTAATTAGCTAAATTTACTAAAACGTTAATTCACACGTGCTTAATGTTTGGGACGTCCCATTTGTATTGTAATTTAACTATCCATGATGGTCACATGGTAGATAGTTTGTTGTGAGTCGACGTTAAAGAGTATGCAACCTAAAGGAAAGCATTCTATTTTTTAATAATAATAAGTTTGGTCTGCTACTTGAATTTGAGACATCCTGTTTCAATTAATATTATCTTATAATAAACTTGACAGACTAGCTACAGCCTGAGAATTCAGAGAAACAAAGCAGATAATTTAGAACATTTTCCTTTTTCCTTTCCTCCAAATACCTCAAAAAGATATGAAAACAGGATGGCCAAAATTCAATGAATGACCCTGTACATACATACCTAGATAAAAGATTTTAGCGCCATTGTGCATATTTTTATGGCTGAAATGCATACACACGGTGTACATATCGGATTTTGAAAAACAGGCACGTATCTATAAACCAATTATGTTCGAATTATGGTTACTTTAGAACGACTAGAAAGTTTTGGTAAACCGATCAGGTCTGCAAACTATCAGTACAAATACATTAAACATTCACTCTATAGCAAAATAGTTTAATAAAAATTAAATCTGGCTGTATGTAAATATTATTAGAATGTTTAGTTCATTTTAGCACTTACATGGAGAATGTTTTGTACAGACGTTCTACTATTTAAATATTTAAAGGGTTTTTCTAACCGCCAATAAACACAACCGACACTATCGCAAATTAACCAAGTTAAAACCGTATATACCTTCGTAACAAGGCGATAGGCACCGGTATATAATTCTCTCCGGCTGTTCGATGTCTATCGAACAATAATTATAACTTATGTTTCTTTAAATGATGGTTTTTTTTAAATATGGTTGATAGCACCTTTCGGGGTTAACAATCAAAGAAAATGACCGAACAATACCTATTGTTATGAAGTAAATTATAAGGGGCTTATATAAAAATAATTGCGACAATAAATTGACATAACCATATTTCACTTGGAATGAAGTTGCCATCTTACCCGAATTTTCCTTTAAGTAAATGCTCCATAGGGCGGTCGTTGACTATTGCATCATAACTTCTAGTAAAACAAGAACAAACCTTTTTGATACTAAATTCCAAATAAGTCAAATTTTCTGACTAATATTCCGGTAATTGACAGAGATAGAGAAGTACCATTGACAAATAGCATATGTGCAGCAGCCGTGCTGTACATAGATTATACTTCCCATAGCAGCGAAGAACCAAGATACAGATGCGATTTAAGCCATAAAAATAAAAAATGGTGTGCGTCACGGGACGCTCAACAGAAGTGAAAACTTCATATATTTAATAAAACCATAAAATATTGAACTTGTTTAACGCATGATGGTAATAATAATTTTATTTTATAATTTCAATATTCTTGTTAATCTAATAATTTATAAATGGATCAGGAATAGGTAAAATATAATTTGATTTCGTTTTGAATGTAAAGTATCTTTTTTATTTGCAACATTTAACATTCTTCAATGAGATGTTGTACATATTGCTCTTCTTGGGCTTGTGTAAGTAAGAGTTTCTGTATT